TACAGCTTTATGTAATAGCACATACCAAATAATATTAAGGGAAAAAAAGGACAAAATGCTTTGTAATTCTAACTAACCTAAAAGCCACATTTCAACGTTAATGTGGTTTGAAAGAGGCCCGGGAAGGCCATCAACAGTTTTGTGCTAAGGTAAAGTGGAGACAAAGCTATGGAGGGAGTCCAAAAAATTCAGTCACAGTAAACACAGGGTTGTGTTACTATGAGATTAATGAAATGAGCACGGCTGGGCAGCCAGCAGGCCAGAAGCTCTGTGCATTCAGGAACCAATCAGCAGCCAGGTCTTATCTTGATTTTATGTTATTGTGGGATGCAATGTTGGAAGGTTTGACTGCAACGTTTTTTAAACTTCTTGCAAAGTAGCAGTAAGGTGGTTGTCAGAGTGGTTTCTTAACTACCTCAAAACATACTTTTGGGGGATTGCGTTGGTCTGGAAAGGCAAGTATCCTGGGTTTGGGTTGAGCTGTCCTAATCAGTCAAGCATTTAACATTTCACTGTCACTCGAGGGGATGGATACCCCATTCTCCCTGATGTGATGATTACTCATTGCATGCCTGTACCAAAACACCTCATATACCCCATAAGTATATATACCTACTACGTACCTACAAAAGTTTAAAATTTAAAAACAAAACTTCACTGTAGAAGAAGAATAAAGTGCCCCAGGAAGGTCATCACTTCCATTTGGCCCATGTTCCTCGGTTCTGATTCATAACAGCTTGTCTTCATTTTTAGTGTCCTCAGTAACCCCACAACTGGGGCCAAAAATCAGCGCCTCCTTTCCTTGTTTGTTGTCACTTACAGTTGTCCTAGGAAACATAAGTGCTAACCATACACAGCCCCAGAAGAGCTGACCTTGTTCAGACACATAAGAAGTCTTCATTCTCCACCCTCAATGTCCTCAATCTTAGTGTGTCTCTGCATTTCATATGTTATAAATAATGCTCTCAAGCCCTTAGTTATGACCTCAACACAGCTGAAAAGCAGCTCAACTAATCATCTGGGGGGTGTGGGAGAGGGAGCATGATAAGAGGTGGGAAAGGACAGCTGGGTGGGGCCTACTGGATTGGCAGTGTAACCCACTGATCCTGGCCAGGGCACCTGTTTCTTCTCGGCCTCAATATCCTCCTCTGTAAAATAAGGGATGGAAAACATACTAGATGATCTCAATTCTCCTTGCTCCTTTTGTACCAATTCTTTGAGATTTGATTAGTTTTTCAGACAAGAGCAGAGCTGAATTCTTTGAGTCAAAGTCACTCAAATGGTCTTTGACTTTTAGCCTTAAACTTATACCAACAGCCTTTTTCCTCTGAAAATGCATACTGCATATAATGGGTAAATTTCTGTAACTACTTTATTGATATAACTTATAAACATAAAATTCACACTTTTAAAGTGTACAATTCAGTGATATTTAGTATATTCACAAAGCTGTGCAATCATCACCACTATCTAAGTCCAAAACATATTCTTTACCCCCAAAAGAAGCCCTATACCCATTAGCAGCCATTCCTCATTCCCGTCAGCCCCTGGCAATGACCAGTCCACTTCTTATCTTCATGGATTTGCCTATTCTAGACGCTTCATAAAAAGTAGAATCATGGCCAGGCATGGTGGCTCACGCCTCTAATCCTAGCACTTTGGGAGGCTGAGGCAGGTGAATCACCTGAGGTCAGGAGTTCGAGACCAGCCTGGTCAACATGGCAAAACCCCGTCTCTACTAAAAATACAAAAATTTGCCAGGCGTGGTGGCGGGTGCCTATAGTCCCAGCTACTTAAGAGGCTAAAGTAGGAGAATCGCTCGAACCCAGGAGGCGGAGGTTGCAGTGAGCTGAGATCACGCCACCGCACTCCTGCCAGGGTGATAGAATGAGATGCCATCTCAAAAAAACAAAAAAAGTGGAATCATATAGTATGTGACCTATTATGCCTGGCTTCTTTCACTTAACCTAATGTTTTCAAGATTCCTCCGTGCTATACCATGAATCAGTACTTCATTCATTCTTACAGTTGAGTAGTATTCCATTATTTGGATATACCACATTTTGTTTATACATGCATTAGTTGAGGATTTTTTATTGTTTCCGTTTTGGAGCTGCTATAAATAGCACTGGTATGAACATTAGCATACAACTATTTTTGTGTGCCCATGTTTTTAATTCTCCTGAAGTGGAATTGCTGGGTCATATGCTAAATCTATGTTTAACATTTTGAGAACTGCCAAACTTTTTTCCAATGTGGCACGCACCACTTACAAACCCACAAGCAATGGATGAGGGCTCTGCTTTATCCACAGCTTTACCAACACTTGTTTTTGTCAGTCTTTGAGCCATCGTAGTGGCTACGACATGGTAGCTCACTGAGGTTCTGATCTGCATTTCCTTAATAGTTAATGATGTTGACAATCTTTTTGTGTACTTATTGGCCATTTGTCTATCTTCTTTGGAAAAATGTCTACTTACAAGGTTTCTTTGCGAGGTGATAAAAATGTTCAAAACTTAGAGTAAAAGTTGCTTAACTCTGTAAATATACTCAAAACCACTGAGTATATTTCACATTAAATGTGTTAACTTTATGGCATATAAAATATATCTCCATAAAGCTGTTTTTAAAAAATTAGTGTGTATAACAATCACAGTGGAGGGTGGGGAGAGGTCTTTTAAAAGTGCAGATTCGGCCGGGCGTGGTGACTCACGCCTGTAATCCCAGCACTTTGGGAAGCCGAGGCAGGCAGATCATGAGGTCAGGAGATCAAGACCATCCTGGCTAACACAGTGAAACCCCATCTCTACTAAAAAATACAAAAAATTAGCCAGGCGTGGTGGCGGGCACCTGTGTCCCAGCTACTTGGGAGGCTGAGGCAGGAGAACGGTGTGAACCCGGGAGGTGGAGCTTGCAGTAAGCCAAGATCACGCCACTGCACTCCAGCCTGGGCAACAGAGCAAGACTCCGTCTCAAAAAAAAAAAAAAAAAGTGCAGATTCCTGGCTGGACACAGTGGCTCACACTTGTAATCCCAGCAGTTTGGGAGAGCAAGGCAGGTGGATTGCTTGAGCTCAGCAGTTCAAGACCAGCCTGGGCAACATGGCGAAACCCCATCACTACAAAAATAGAAAAATTAGCCCAGTGTGGTGGCGCATGCCTGCAGTCCCAGCTACTTGGGAGGCTGAGGTGGGAGGATGGCTTGAGCCTGGGAGGTGGAGGTTGCAGTGAGCCAATATAGTGCCACTGCACTCCAGCCTAGGCAACAGAGTGAGACTGTGCTTCAAAAACCAAGCGCGGATTCCTAAATATACCAAGAGCAGAGAGTGATTCCACAAACCTGGGAGGAAGTCCCAGCACTGTGTGTCTTTGTCAAAGATACGGAGCAAGGCTGAGACTATTCTCTGTAAGAAGCCAATTCTTGGAGGCCCCAAGGGCACAAGGCTCCAGGGGAAGAAAAGGCCAATGTGCACTAATGTATTTTTTGAACACATATTAATGAGCTCTTTCCTTTTGTACTTTCTTGCATGATGAGTTGCCCCTTAATCTGTTCAAGGGCAGAGGAAAGGGCTGGGATAGATAGTCCAAGATAAAAGTCAGTTGAGGGTTACTCGGACATTCTTGAGGTCTGCAGGGCTCCCAGAGTCCCTGATGTACCCACTGTAGGGCCTCAGGTTTCCTGAGAGAACCGACAGAACTACAGAGGCTTGCAACTGGAAAAAGGCCCTCAGAGCTCAGAGCCTTTGCAATGGGAGGAGACAGCCAAAAATGGCTCTGACCATGGACTTTGGAGGACTTCAGTGGACACTAGTACAAGGGGCAGCAGGAGCCCAGAGTGGATCCAGAGACCAGAATGGCAAGGGGCAAGTCAAAGTCATTATTCTGTGAGGGCTTGTGAAGAACATTATATATGTGTATGTATATACCTGTATGTGTAAATATGTGCATATGTATATATGCATATATATGTATCACATGTGTATAGATTATATGTATATATATGTAAAATACATAAAATATATGTGTATAAAAACATATGAGCATATACACATATCATATTCAGATGCACACATCAGCTAACTTATAATGTAAGTAAAGTAAACATATGACTATATATATATATTTAGAGGGTGATATTGTTTGGATGTTTGTTGCCTCCAAATCTCATGTTGAACTGTAATACAGTGTTGGAGGTGAAGCCTGGTAGAAGGTGTCTGGATCATGGGGGCGGATCCCTCATGAATGGCTTAGCACCATCCCCTTGGTGATGAGTGAATTCACGTAAGATGGGGTTGTTTTAAAATGTGTGCCACCTCCTCCTCTCTCTTGCTCCTGCTCCCTCCATGTGATGCACCTGCTCCCCCTTTGCCTTCCACCATGATTGGAAGCTTCCCGAGGCCCTTACCAGATGTTGGCATTATGCTTCCTGTACAGCCTGCATAACCATGAGCCAATAAAAGTTTTCTTCATAATTTACCCAACCTTAGGTATTTCTTTATAGCAATGCAAGAACAGACTAACACATAAGGTGTGTATATGTATGAGCACATAACCAGATAGTCATAATTTTTAAAGCACTCTCAATAACAGAGGGCACTTGCTCTTTTTAGAGCACAAAAATGAGGCTCAGAGAAGTGCGGTGAACTGTCCAAGCTGCAGTGGTCACAAGAGACAGAAATGGGATTAGGACTCAGTGTTCCTCCTATTCCTCCAGGCTCTTAACCCCATTCGTGACCTTCAATAGCACTTTCTCCCAGGTAATTGACAACTATACATCACAGCAGCAAATTTTTTTACTTCCACTTAAATTCCTACCTGGGACATTATCATGCAATAAGGAGGGGCAGCCTTGAGAATGGAATTCGTGTGACCAACTGTGCCCAGCTGGGCCCCTGAAAGCAGTCCTCTCTGTGAGCCCAGAGCAGGACCAAACCCTTCAATGGAGCAATTTTAAGAGCAGCTGGTGTCACCCTAACCACAGCAGTATCTGATCATACATACTTGAAAATCATCCTCTTGATTTTTGCCTTCACTTCCTGTTGGGTTGAAAATGAATCCAAGGGGAATTCCAGATGAGGAGTGGAACTGAACTGGAACGCTCCCACTCTGACCTGCAGTAGGAGACAGTGGGCTCAGGGCCCCGAGACTGGGGTCAAGTCAAAAACATTCCTAAGAGGAAAGAAGGAGCAAGAAAGGTTAACAACCCTGCCTCCCACCCACTCAACAAACACCAATGCCAGAGCTTTCTCCTGTCTCCCTGGGAGGAAGTTCCAAAGACCCATTTGGAGAACCTGGAAAAAAAAACCCGCCAAATCTGTTTGTGTTCTGCACTGACGACCCCAATTCAATCTTCTTGACTGACCTTCTGCTAGGCAGCTGAACATTCTGGCAGTGTTCTCAGCTGAGCTTGTGAATATTTAGGGCAGGGTCTCCACTCACTTTTACCAACTGCCTCCCAGCTGCCACTGCTGTCTTGAGCAGTTTCATGCACTATCTCATTTAATCCACAGAGTCACTATTAACACCCACATTATGGGTGGAGAAATCCCAATGTGGAGAATATATACGTCTGGCCCAAGGCAAATGCTTACTTGCCCAGGACTAGTAAGAAAGGCAGCCAGGCCATCGGACTTTGTGCCTATGGTCTTCCCTAAGACCCAGTTATAACTCCTGCCTTCTTAGCAGCCAGCACAGGCCAGCAGCAAAATGCTTACTGACCCAACTGGGGCTGCTGCGAAGCTAACCACAGCCACCATCACTGATAACTCATCACTAAGCACAGCCACCCCACAACCCAGTCCTTGACTGGGTGGTCAGCCCCGCCAGACCTGCTCCTGCCAAGTTAGAGAAAGTCCAGGTCTCTAGACCACAGTCAGACCTGGGGGACAATCAGCATCCACAACTGAGACGACCAGCATTGGGGCTGAAGTTCTTCTGTAATGAAGGAGAACACTGGTGAATCCACATAGATTTTGTGTCCTAATTGAGGAGGCCACAGGAGATCCAATGCCTTGCAAAACTGGAGAAAGGAAACTGAGTAAAGTTGCTCTCTGGATCCTTAAAGCACTAGCATGTCTTGAGCAGAGAAGGCTACAAACATTCAGGTTTCCTCCTGAGGGCCCAAGGCCTGCACCTCATCATTGGTTCTCCAAAACCCCTGGAGAAACAACATTCTCTGTTACTATTCTCAAAACTAACCCTAGTTCTGGCCAAGAGTGCAAATGGGCCAAGTGAGTCATGTTTAAGCAATGATGCCGCCCTCTGCTCCTCACTTGAATTCCCTCACTGCCGTTCCCTCGACAGGCCTGGGACTTGGGAGATGATGGAAACGCCCTGCCACACCAGGCCGGCGGCACCTGCTCCAGATCAGCTGGGTGGGGTTCCCTTTTGCAGGCAGGGTGCTCTGGGGAGGAGCTCTTCGGCACCTTAAGCAGAATGAAATCTCAGTCTTCAGTGGGCACACGGGGGAGATGGACACAGGACGACAGACCAGTAGGTGATCTCGGGAAGAAGCTTCTGGGAAGGAGAGCTTCCTAGGTTTTCCTTGAAGTTAGTGTGTGATTAAAAAGGGGCATCTCAAACCAGGGGGAAAAGATGATCTAGTCAGTCAATGATACTGGGACAACTGGAGAGCAATCTACAAAAAATAAAGGATAAACTGTAAATGAATTCAAGATTTTGGGGTGAAAAATCTAAATATGAAAGTTCTAGAAAACCTCAGGAGAATTTCTAAAATTTCAATGTGTAAAAAGACCTTATTTTCTATTACTTAAAATCCAGAAGCTATAAAGGAAAGATTGATAAATGTGAATGCACCAAAAAAAAAAAACAACTTCTGTGGGATGAAACATACCTTAACGGAATAAAAAAATAAAGACAAAATGGAAAAATTATGTGCAATTCATGTTAAAGGGTTAGCTTCCTCAATATATAAAAAAATGAGAATCAACCTACAAAAGACCAACAATCCAACAGAAAATGGGCAAAGGATTTGAACAGAGATCACAGAACAGGAAATACAAATAACTCTTTAATGGAAAGATACCTGGGCTCACCATAATGAAATAGCATTTTTCCCCATCCATTTAGCAAAAAACCATATACGATGTTTCCAGGGTGAAACGAGCATTCGCAAACATTGCTTGTAGAAATGTAAATTGGTACAGCATCCATGGAGGGCAATTTTTAAATATTTATTGAAAATTTAAAAAAAGAAAATTAAAAAAAAATGCATAGGGCTACTGGAAATGTATCCTACTTGTACGTGTGAAATCATGTTATTTACAAGATCACAATATATTTGTAACAGCAAATATCCATCATTAGGGGTTAATTAGACCTTGATAAATCCTTATGATGAAACATTTTAATGACCTGTAAAAAAATTATACCTGTATACAGATATGAAAAGATTTCCAAGAAAATAAGAGGAGAAAAAAGGCATGAGAGAACAATGTGTGTGGTAGGCTACCCTTTGTGTAATAAGGGAGAAAGAAGAATATTTATTCACATTGCCTGTATTTGCACAAAGTGATTCTGGAAAAGACTCAAGAACACAAGTTGAGGGACAGGCCAAATGGAAAATGTGTGGGTGAAAGGGAGACTTTTCACTGTACATCTTTTTATTGAACCCATGTGAATGAATTACTTAGTTGAAAAAATAACCTCTCCTGAGACCAACAGCTGGGTGTGTTTACTTGAGTTAAACAGGAAGAAATATAACTTCAAAACAAGAAGGAAGCAGCTTAAGTCAGTAGTTAAAGCATTTTGTTTAATTGGTGGTTTGGGAACAAAATAGTTGCCTTTTATCTTCAGTTTACTGTATGCTCAGAAACAGGCCCGCCCAGCTATCTCACCAGCCATAATCACTCTGCCCCAGTCACTACATTAGAGCCAGGAAGTGAACCTCTCAGCTTTTAAGTGTTAAGAGGAAGACTTCAAACACCTTAAATCCACCTTAACAACAGAGCATCCATAAAAGTCTTAATTTACAGCTACCTGACATTTCTTCTTGAAAACTAAAGTTAAAGCAAGTAAAACATGGCACAAATGAAATCCCTTGTACATGGAGATAACAAAAAGAGAATACAAAAAAAAAAAAAAAAAAAATGCAGCAGCAAAAACATAAAGCCTGAAGCCACAAGTCAGACTAAACCATCTTAAATCGCCCTCATGCAAAAACCCTTCTGCAGCATGCCAAGGGGTCCACCTGACCTTGGGGGTCAACACACTAATTCACTCACCCAAGTAAACACTCAATTCCTCTGCTTCTCAAGTCTTGCTGCGAGAAAGCTTTTCTCAGGTTAAGCCTGAATCTAACTCCCTGAACACCCAGATTCTACCCTTAAAACACAGAGCCATTGTCTGCTCTCTTTCACATGAAAATGATCCTCAGGTTCCCTCATTCATAGAGGTTTCCAGGCCTCTGGTTGTCCTGGCTCCCTCATGGGCACTGACTGGCCCATGTCTAACCAAGAAATCAGCCCCCAGAACTCAATGACACTTTCTAGATGTGGTCCAGCAATGCCCAGGTTAAATTCCCTGAACTCTGGGATCTGCTCCCAATAGCATCAGCCAGGAAATTTCTTGTCACGGTTTTCTTACACCACTCCCACACACACACACACAGACTGCCACACTGCTGGCCATTTGCTGTGTGATAGCAAGGTGTGAATTTTGAGGGCTAAGACAAATGGCCTAATGGAGCAAGTCCTGGGCTGAGAGTCAAGAGCCCCAGTTCTTCCACACTTAGCTCTCTCCTGAGGTTGCTGTGTGACCCTCGACAGTCACTTAGCCTCTCTGAGCCTGCTCCCTCATCTGTGAAACACACACTAATAATCCACAGGATCCTACATTCCCAACTAGCCAACCCCAGGGTCTCCAGGCTACTCATTTCAGGACACGTTACATCAATGCCGAGGTCAACAATGTTTAATCTTCATGCTACTTCTCTTTTTGTTATTCCTCCATGAGTAACTAGTGACACTTTATAAGGAACTCTTTTAAAACAGGGTCCTGTGCAGAGGATGGTGGGGAAATGGCACTTTTTGGCCCGGCCCTTTCAGGGTCTATGCTGGTTTAACATCATGGTTAGAAAACTTCTGGGCTGCTTGTGCCGAGATTGAATGATGCTGCTAAGGAGTCCTCAGGTACAAGACGGTCTAAGGTCCAGGTAGTGTGCTCCAGCTAAAAAAACGACACACCATTCTGCAGAAAATCTGACCCTCATTAAAAGCCATGTATTCTCCTAAATCCTAGAGGTTTTACTAGGATTAATCTAGGAATGTTATCTTGGAAAACCACTTCCTTCCTCAACCTGTATGCAATTGGTCTCTCATCCAAGTAATGACGGCTTTTCCAGGCTACATCCTCTCTTAATCTTTTTTTTTTTTTTTCCCTGAGATGGAGTTTCACTCTGTCACCCAGGCTGGAGTGTAGTGGTGCGATCTCAGCTCACAGCAAGCTCTGCCTCCTGTGTTCAAGCGATTTTCCTGCCTCAGCCTCTCGAGTAGCTGGGACTACAGGCACATGCCACCATGTCTGGCTAATTTTCTGTATTTTTAGTAGAGACAGGGTTTCACCATGTTAGCCAGGATGGTCTCGATCTCCTGACCTCATGATCCGCCTGCCTCAGCCTCCCAAAGTGCTGGGGGCGTGACCCACTGTGCCCGGCCTCTCTTAATTTTTAAGTTGACTTTTGAGTAGGTTCACATGATTCAAAAATCCAGAAAATATTTAAGTCTGTATTGATGAGTCTGTATTGATGAGTCTCCCTCTGGCCTTGTGCTCTGTCAACTCACTTCCCAACCTCCCCCTTAATGAAACCACTGTTCTCGGCCTCTTACAAATCCATCCAGAGTGTATACAGATACAGGAAAATATAAAGATAGATTTTCATTCATCCCCCCTTATCTTTTACATAGAAAGTAACATACACACCCTTTGCACCTTACTTCGACACTTCGCTCGTTCTGGTGTTTTTCCATATCAGAGAGCTTCCTCACTCGCTCTCTGGAGCTGGCTAGTGTTTCAGTGTATGAATGCATCATAATGGATGTATCTGTCCCCCTCAATGTACGTCTGGATTGCCTGAAATCTTTTACAGTTTATACACATAATGCTGCAATGAATAACTCTGTATGGGTACTATTTTGCATGGGCGTGTGTATTGTAGAATAAATTCCTTGATGTTGAATTGCTGGGTTAAAGGATCCAAGCCTTTGTAACTGGGATGAATACTATTCGACTCCCCCCAGAGGCTGCACCATTTCACACTCCACCAGCAGTGTATGAGAACACCAGTTTCTTTCAAGATTTGCCAGTGAAGCATGTCACCAAATTTAGGATTTTTTTTGCTAACCCAGTAAGTGAAAAACTGTATGTTAGGCAGAGGGTTTGCTGACCCTCTGAGTGAGTGAGGTTGGGCTTCTTTTTGTATGCCTAAAGGCCTTGCGTGTTTCATTTTCTGGGAATTGTCTCTGTTCCTTGCCCATTTTTCTGTTGGATTGTTCCAAAAAAAAAAAAAAAAAAAAAAAAAAAAAGGCCCCTTTTAGAAATAAGAGCCATAGCTACCACACTCTGCTATATTTAAGACCTACTATTTGAAGAACAAGAAATGAGGATACTGTCTGGATCCACTCAAGCAGGAGTAGTTTCTCTCAAGTGCAAGAGAGGGTAGGAGCTGTGTTTCATGTTCAGTCTGCTGAGGTAGTAACAGCTTTAGTCTGCTTAGCATGCTTTCCCTTTCCCACTGTTCTGCAAATACAACCCAACCTCTCTTTCTAGAAGGCCAAATCCACCCCCTACCCCAAAAACATGGCAGCGCTCTTGACTGTGGTCTGGCCAGAAACTCTTTTCCCTCTGACTGCTGTGATTGGTCAGTAGATTATCATGTGACCTGGGGCTCTGACCTGCTCTATAGAGAAAAAAGTCCCCTTAATTTTTACTGGGGTCACTAGCTTGAGGAACAATGCAGGACAACTTGGCTATGTCAGGAAAACCTGTCTGGGAAGGAAGTCAACCAAAAGAAAACAAAATTGAGAGAAGGGAAAAAAAAAGGAGAGAGAGAAAGATGCCTTATAGCCTCAACTCAGCCCTGGGATCCCACCATGCCAGGAAGCAGGATTCAGCCCCTTGGTCTTCCCAGCTCCACAAGCCAGTAGATGCCTCCTCTGCTTGAGACCGGGTTTCTGTCCCTTATCACAGAAGACGCCCTAACACAAACATCTACAAAGACTTGCACTCACCCTCTCGGTGCTGATGTCCAGAGCGTCACAGACTGTGATGGCAAAGTGCTTGGACCTTTCAAAGCTCCCTTTCCCGACGCTGTTAGACCCATCTAACAGAAACAGGATGTCCACTGCAGCAGAGCACCACATCACTAGGGAGAGCGGGACAGACAGGTGACAACCAGTGAAGGCATAAACAGCCTTGTGGTGGGCCAGGCTGCTGCCCCTCTTAGCATGAAAGGGAAGAACTAACCTGCAGAAGGCGGCCCTCCTCTGAAGCAGGAAGCACAGGCACCATGGGTGTGATGCCCACAAATAGGCCCTCACATGAAAGCCTTTGTGTTATGATAATGGAAGAACCTAGTTCAACAATGCCAATTAAGCTCTATGAGGGGGTCTACTGGGCCAGTGAGCAGCACTGAAAAGGCTTGGTCCCAGGCCTTGGAGGGCCACAATCTAGTGTGGACACGGGCACCCTGATATGTGAGGCCATATTACCCAAGAGTTCAGTAGCAGTAACAGCAGTCATGTGGAGGGATACTGATTAAGGTGGAAAAGGAAGGAATATGGTGGGAGATGGGCATGGCAGGTAGCCACTCCATCACCTGGTGAGCAGATAACAGAAAACCTTGAGACACAGGCCAAGTATTTCAATAATAAAGATTTACTAAGGCTGGGCATGGTGGCTCACACCTGGAATCTCAGTACTTTGGGAGGCCAAGGCAGGCGGGTTGCTTGAGTTCAGGAGTTCAAGATCAGCCTGGTAACATGACGAAACCCCGTCTCTACTAAAAACACAAAAACTAGCTGGGCGTGATGCATGCCTATGGTCCCAGCTACTTGGGAGGCTGAGGCAGGAGGATTGCTTGAGCCCAGGAGGTCGAGGCTGCAGTGAGCTGAGATTGTGCCATTGCACTGCAGATCCTGGGCAACAAGAGCAAGACCCTGTCTTTAAAACAAAACAAAAAAAGGTTTACTGAGCTATTTTGTTTGTTTTTGAGATGGAGTTTCCCTCTTGTTGCCCAGGCTGTAGTGCAATGGCGCAATCTCAGTTCACTGCAACCTCCGCCTCGTGGGATCAAGCAACTCTCCTGTCTCAGCCTCCCGAGTAGCTGGGATTACAGGCACCCAGTTTTGTTTGTTTTTAAACCAAGTAACTTGGTCAGGTCGCTGTTTGGGGGAAATGACTCTGGCCACAGCATGAAAGAAAGACGGGAAAGGGGCAGAAACTCTCTGGGAGAACACAGTTCTCCTCCAGTCCCTCATGCAGAGGTCTGAGTGCTCTGAGTGGGCATCCAGAGGGTTAAGAAGAACCTGGGCTTACTTTTGCTGGCAACTGAAATCTTCCCGATGGTTTCTCTGCTTACATGGACTTCCTGGAGAGGGAGAGATGGGGGCACTAGGAGAGAAAACACCAGAAGCAACCATTAAAATGCTGAGAGGGGAGGAGGCTCAATCTCCACATTAAGTGACCGGACTGAACAGGTAACAGCAGAGAAACCTAGAATGTGGGGGAGTGATGATTCTTGCATTTCAAAAATTACCAGATGGATAACATAAAGAAACCCCCCAATTACCTCACTTCTGTGAGGTATCTTTGTATTTAAATGTGGGTAGTTTTAAGAGAAAAGAATAAAAATAACACACAGTGGAGCTCTAGAGAGCCTGTGATTCTGAAAACTTTTGTCCCTGGTCAGGTGTAATAACCGCAGTCTCCTGGGAGTGCAGCTCCTTGCACGACCTCTAGACACATCCTTGGAAGCTCCCTCACTACCCCTGCCAGGCCCCTCAGGAAATACATCTCACTGCCTTGAAGATTAATCTTCATGGCCAGGTGTGGTGGCTCATGCCTGTAATTCCAGCACTTTTGGAGGCCAAGGTGGGTGGATCACGAGGTCAGAAGATCGAGATCATCCTGGCTAACGCAGTGAAACCCCGTCTCTACTAAAAATACAAAAAACTAGCCAGGCATGGTGGCGGGCGCCTGTAGTCCCAGCTACTCGGGAGGCTGAGGCAGGAGAATGGCGTGAACCCGGGAGGCAGAGCTTGCAGTGAGCCGAGATCCGGCCACTGCACTCCAGCCTGGGCAACAGAGCAAGACACCGTCTCAAAATAAATAAATAAATAATAAAATTTAAAAATAAAAATACAAAACTTAGCTGGGCATGGTGGTGTGTGCCTGTAGTCCCAGCTTCTCTGGAGGCTGAGGGAGGAGAATTGCTTGAACCTGGGAGGCGGAGGTTGCAGTGAGCGGAGATTGCGCCCCTGCATTCCTGCCTAGGCGACACAGCGAGACTCGGTGACAAAGAGAGGAGGGGAGAGGGGAGGGAGCATTGGAAGTCAGGGGTAAGACGCCGAGGAGGTCACAGGATTGCAGAACAGTGAGCCACCCATGATGGAAGTCCTGAAGACAATAAGGGGTCCCCAGAAGGGACGTTTGGAAAAACCAAAATCCTCTCCGCAACTGCAGCTGGTAGGTGTCTAGTGGCAGAAGAGACGTACACTCAGATGCTTTGTAAATGTCCATGTGCAGCGACTAAACACAGAGGAACCAAAGCTAGAGGGGCAGAGCCTAGGAGTGGCCAGGTCACGGAAATGGGGCAGATGAAGGAACACGAGCAGGCCAGGTGTGGTGGCTCACGCCTGTAATCCCAGCACTTTGGAAGGCCAAGGTGGGCCCATCACCTGAGGTCAGGAGTTCAAGACCAGCTTGGCCAACATGGTGAAATCCCATCTCTACTAAAAATATAAAAATTATCCAGGTGTGTTGGCGGGCACCTGTAGTTCCATCTACTCGGGAGGTTGAGGCAGGAGAACTGTTTGAACCTGAGTGGCAGACGAGCATGGGGGCTACTGTAAAGAAAGGTGAAGGAGAAACAGCAGGGAGGACAGGAAGAATCACACAGTACAGGGCACCTGGTCTCAAGGTTTGCAACTGCCAGGAAAGCGATGACAAGACAGACTCCAAAAGAGGGTTTCAGTCTGGGGGAGTGACAGCAAGGACCCACGTTATTGGTCAACCTGCTAACTCAGCACCCTCTTGGCTGGTTCCAGCTCTATCTTTCCCAGCTCCTTCCCATTCATTAGTCCCCCATGCAAACTAAACTAGTCTTTCTCCATACTGTATCTTTGAGCAGACAGTTCCTGCTCACCTAATACTCCCTCCTCCCCTCAATCTCTACTCATGGAGATTCTAAGTCAATGTGCTGAGCCAGCAGTCAGCTCCACAGCCAAAAGCTGCCGGACAAATCTCTCTCATTAGATCTGGCACAGTCTGCTGCTGCTGTTTTGCCACCAGAGACAGAAACAAGACTTAGACTAGAAAGAAAGACAGTAGACATAATTAAAGAAAAGAAAATCCATGGCAGCTATTGGGACAGAGGGAGGGGCAGCATCAAAAACAAAAACAGGCTGGCAGGGTGGCTCAGGCCTGTAATCCCAGCACTTTGGGAGGCCGAGGCAGGTGGATCACCTGAGGTCAGGGGTTCGAGACCAGCCTGACCAACCGGGTGAAACCCCATCTCTATTAAAAATACAAAAAATAGCTGGGTGTGGTGGCAGGCACCTGTAATCCCAGCTACTCGGGAGGCTGAGGCAGTTGAATCACTTGAACCCAGGAGGTGGAGGTTGCAGTGAGCCAAGAGTATGCCACTGCACTCCAGCCTGGGTAACAGAGCAAGACTCTATCTCAAAAAAAAAAAAAAAAAAAAAAAAAGAATTACAGGCTTTCTGCTCACTGCATTCAGAGATCACAACCATGCCAACGCCTGGGCCCATTGCAGCCCACCCCATAATGTGATGCTGTTCCCACGAGCCCCTCGCCTGGCTGCCTGAAAGCTCCCCGAGGGCAGGAACATTTCCACCCAGTCCTCCACAGAGCCTCGTCCAGCCCTCTGCATACAACACACAGGCCCTAAAGTTTCCTGAACTGAGTCTGTGAATTACTCTCCTGGCAAAGGCCCCAGTAGCTGAGGAATCCTCAAGACCCCACAAAGAACAGAAAAATACAGTTTCTGTTTAAATATGTTACCAGCAAATTCTCCAGCTGAAGGCAGGCCAGCCATCTCCCCAGGATGGGAAGGTAGGGGAGCTCTGTGAGCAGAGACCACTCACTAAAGATGTCGTTCAGCTAACTATGCCTCTGTGCCCTGTGCTCAGCTGTCATGGCAGGTGGCAGGCTTCAGGTGAGCCCACCTTGAGCCCGGGTGACATCCCCCATGCTCCCTGTGAAATGTCCTCAGGACTGCAGAGGCTCCCCCTGAACAGGCGGCTGCTTCATGTGTGATTGCTGCTGCTTTTTCCAACCAAGTCAGAAGCCCCCCTGAAGACCAGCTGCCTAGACTCCGGAACTTCAATCTGCAGGATGGGTGACACTATTGAGCTGGCAGAGTTGAGAATCACGAATCTAGTCAAATTCTTTCACTTTACAGATGTGACAGCCAAGTCTTAGAGAGAACTTTTGTACATTCTTATCTTTCCAGAGAAGCCGAGTGGTACGGCCAGCCCAGGAGTAGGGAGAACTGGGTGTTAGTCCCAGCTTTGCCACATAGCTGTGTGACCTTGGGCAGGTCACAGGGCCTCTCTGGGCCTCCCCTGCCTCATCTGCACAACCCAAGGATGATCAGATCAAGTGTATGTGATCGCGATCGGGAGGCTGGACAGGGCCACAGAAGGCAAAGGTCCATGACAAGCTGGAACAGAACCTGGACTGTGCCCGGGACTGCAGAGACTTCATTCAGGCCCTGGCCCCAAACACATCTCACCACTCCCCAACCCCTTGGCCATGAAGCTGCTGTGTTACACTTTCCATCCACCCCACCTGGCTTCGAGACAGAGGGAAACAGGTGGGCCGGGCAGCCAGGCTGGAGCCACCAGCCTTTCTGATGCCCGCGAGGTTCCAGGAAACAGGCAGGTGTTAACATTAGCCAATTCAGCAGAGAACAAATATCTACTCATGGAAACACAGACCAGGGAAGAACTGCAAAAAAGAATCCCAGAGGCCACTGTGCAACCCCTTGGCTTTACAGAAGAGGATCCCGAGCCTCACAAGGCTGGGACAGCTTGGCCGCCCAGTCCACCTGTTCTTACTTATAAGACAACAATCTGCAGACACATTAATTCCTTCCTACCTTCTCATATTTCAAAGAGGCTAGAACTTGAAAGGGACAAAGTGGGAAGTAAAAAGAAAGTGAATTTGCTCCATTATTTATTTATTAATCTATTTCTGGAGCATAAACTGTGAGCCCTGCCCAGTGCAGGCCCTGAAATAATACAGTGGTGAATAAATAATGTTAAAGAATGTACAGTCTCTTTCCTTGAAGAGCTTACGTCTTATGGAAAAGATGTCATTTTAAAATGCACACAAAACTCATATCTGTGTTAAGTGCTACAGAGCAGGGACTACAAGGGGTTTGAAGAGGGGATGAGACATGATCTAGAGGTCCCGGGGGAATTGAGCTGGGGCCAAAGGATGGGGAGGAGTTTGCCAGGGTGGCAGTGTTTGGGCGAGGGGGTGATCCAAGCAGAGGGGCAACATAATTCAGAACCTTTTTGGTGGCGGGGAGCAAGGATGCAGGGCAGGACTGGAAGGAGAGTGGGCTGTTGTGCAAACGGCACAGAGGGGACTCACGATGGCCAGGGGGTAAGATGAGACAAAGCCTCTTAAGAGCAACAGAAAGTTGGCCGGGAGTGGTGGCTCACGCCTATAATCCTAGCACTTTGGAAGGCCGAGGCGGGTGGATCACGAGGTCAGGAGTTCAAGACCATCCTGGCTAACACGGTGAAATCCTGTCTCTACTAAAAATACAAAAAAAATTAACCGGGCATGGTGGCAGGCGCCTGTAGTCCCAGCTACTCGGGAGGATGAGGCAGGAGAATGGCATGAACCCGGGAGGCGGAGCTTGCAGTGAGCCGAAATCGCACCACTGCACTCCAGCCTGGGCGACAGAGCCAGACTGTCTCAAAAACAAACAAACAAACAAACAAAACAAAAAAAAAGCCACAGAAAGTCACTGAAAAGTTTTATTTGGGGGTGAAGAGGGGTCCAGACATGATCCGATTTGCATTTCGAAATGGCCGCTGTGAAGATATGGAATGAACCCAATCAATGATAGACTGGATAGAGAACATGTGGTACATATACATCATGGAATACTATGCAGCCATAAAAAGGAACGAGATCATGTCCTTTGCAGGGACATGGATGGGGCCAGAAGGCATTCTCCTCAGCAAACTGATGCAGGAACAGAAAACCAAACACTGCACGTTCTCACTTGTAAGTAAGAGCTGAGGGCCGGGCGCCGCAACTCACACCTGTAATCCCAGCATGTTGGGAGGCCAAGGCAGCCAGATCACCTGAGGTCAGGAGTTCAAGACCAGCCTGACCAAGATAGTGAAACCCCGTCTCTACTAAAAATATAAAAATATAACAATTAGCCGGGTGTGGTGGTGCGTGCCTCTAATCTCAGCTACCCAGGAGGCTGAGGCTGAGGCTGAGGCTGAAGCAGGAGAATCGCTTGAACCCGGGAGGCAGAAGTTGCAGTGAGCAGAGATCGCATCATTGCACTCCAGCCTGGGTGACAGAGCGAGATTCCATCTCAAATAAATAAATAAATAAATAAAGTAAGTGGGAGCTGAACAATGAGAACACATAGACATGGGGAGGGAAACAACACACACTGGGGCCTGTTGAGGGGTGGGGTGGGGTGGGGTGGGGAAAGGGAGAACATCAGGATAAACAGCTAATGTATGCTGGGCTCAATACCTAAGTGATGGGCTGAGAGGTGCAGCAAACCATCATGGCACATACCATAGCACACATTTACCTATGTAATGAACCTGCACATCCTGCACATATACCCTGGAACTTAAAAATAAAAAAAGAAATAGCCACAGGGGACCCAGGGAGACCAGCAGGAGGCTTCTGCAGTGATCCAAACATGAGATGACATGGCTTAGACTAGGGAGGTAGCCATGGAGGGGAGATGCAGGTGGATTCAAGAGACCTTTAGAATTGAAAATCAACAGGATTTGAAGCAAGAAACCCCTCCACCCGACACCTCAGTACTTCCCCACCACCAATAAACACAACTTACCTCTGGAAAACAGGAAAATACAGATGGTTTCCAGCAACAGGAAAGGGGGCATGTTGATATAACTACAGAGACGGGAAAAGAAGGAAAGAATCAGCAATTAGTTCTGTGAACGCCCCAAGTCACACTGCCAAACAAGATGCCAACTCAGCCTTTTCCAGGTCACAGATATGACCCCGGAGGCCCTCAGCACAATAACTACAGTGGCCTGGAAAAGTCTCCAGTTCCCAAAAAGTCATGGAAGACTTTACTCCAATTACTTTCGTTTTAGACACTAATCTAACATCTTCCCCAGGATACCTCTCTCATCCACCCCCAAATGCACCCCACCCTCCACACGCCCTGGGAAGGTGTGCTCTCCTGCTCTCCCCGGAGTTAAGAGGCCCGGGGTGTTGGCTCTGCCTGGGTCCTGACTAGCCATGTGACTCTGGGCAAAGTCACTCCTTTCTCAGGGTCTCCATTTCTTGATGAGGAGTTAGAATTCAACAGGCTGAAGATCTGATTTTCAACGTCCTCATCTTCTGAAACCTTCTAATGCGGTTAACAAACCTTTCCCTAGATAAGACAACATCTGAAGAAAGCCTGCACTATCTAAATTATCCACTAGTCATCACTAATCATCTAAATTATTTATGAATCATAATCTGGCTGAAGGAGGAGGAAATTTTTTATTTTTATTTTTTTATTTTGAGATCGAGTCTCACTCAGTAGCCCTAGCTGGAGTGCAGCAGCCCGATCTCAGCTCACTGCAAACTCCGCCTCGGGGACTTAATGTGATTTTTGTGCCTCAGGCTCCCGAGTAGCTGGGACTACAGGTACACCCCACCACACCTGGCCAAGAAAAATTATTTTTAAAGAAGTTTTTAAAAAAAAAACTTCACCACCCAGGCAGCAGCCACACCTGCCCCGTGGTGGCAGAGAGCCTACATGAACCCAGGGGCCCTAGTCCTCATCCTGGTGCCCTGTGACCTTGAGAGAGACTGTGGGTCCTCCCTTACAAAGTGAAGAGAAGGGCCCCGATGTGGCTAAGCTGTCTTAAGAGTTTTAAAAGTCCCATTGGATCCCCGTCTCCATCGTGAACCTATGATGTGTGGACCTCAAGATATATCCAGCTCAGTTTTGTTTTTTTGACATACTTATTTGCATAAAGTTTACACACATGCCATGACTCTGAAGTTTTTTAAAAAATAAGATCTTTGGGCTGGGCGCGGCAGCCCATGCCTGTAATCTCAAAAAAATAAATAAATATAAAATAAAATAAAATAAAAATAAACCCTTCGTGGTGGCTCACGCCTGTAATCCCAGCACTTTGGGAGGCTGAGGCAGGTGGATCACCTGAGTTCAGGAGTTCGCGACCAGCCAACTCCTGGTCAACATGGTGAAACGTCTCTACTGAAAATACAAAAAATAAGCCAGGCATGGTGGTGGGCACCTATAATCCCAGCTACTCAGGAGGCTGAGGCAGGAGAATCGCTTGAACCCGGGATGTGGACGTTGCAAGTCCCTAAATGGAGGTAGAGTATGTGTTCCTATTTTATATACTCTCATACGGGAGATAAGTGGTTAAGGAGGACTAGAAACCCAACCAGGCCTGCCGGGGTGCTGGACAGACACAGAACATTCCTAAGGGAATGCCACCAGAGGAAAAAAATACAAATCTGTACAAAAATCTTTTTTTTTTTTTGAGATGGAGTCTCGCTCTGTTGCCCAGGCTGGAGTGCAGTGGCACTATCTCGGCTCACTGCAAGCTCCGCCTCCTGAGTTCACGCCATTCTCCTGCCTCAGCCTCCCAAGTAGCTGGGATTACAGGCGCCCACCACCGTGCCTGGCTAATTTTTGTATTTTTAGTAGAGACGGGGTTTCACCGTGTTAGCCAGGATGGTCTCAATCTCCTGACCTCGTGATCCGCCCGCCTCAGCCTCCCAAAGTGCTAGGATTACAGGCGTGAGCCATCATGCCCGGCCAAAAATCTTTATTTTCACACTTGAATCACATCCTCATTCCAACAGCTTTATTAGGCTTGGCCAACCCAGTATGTTACACACTCACTCAGGTACTTGGAACATTACTGCAGAGCTCCTTAACCAATCGAGTTAGGGCGAAGTGGTCACTTTCCCCACAGCCAGACTCTGGATTTGTCTCCTGGGAGGACACCATGCCTGGCACAGGCTGAGGGGGCAGCTGCAGTGGAACCTTGCCTCCAGATTATGAACCAGTGTAAGCAGCACAATTCTCGTGGCTAATTTCACTTCAGATTGTCATGTTTATTGATGTGGAGCTTTCTGAATAGGGAGGTTGAGGCACTGCCAGGTGCTCAGTAAAATAAATATTTCTTGCAGCACTCTAGATTGAGGGCAGCAGTCAATGGTAAAATAAATTTCAGCAGCATGTTCCTGACAGGTTATATAGCAGCCCTGGCTCAAGGATTTCTCCCCCTCCACGATTCCTAAGACTGTTTGCTAGTTGATTCTTTGTTTTGGGAATTTGATGGTTTTGATTAATTTGCTGTGATCCAGGGGTGTTCAAGTACTTCTCTGAGCATTGGCCTCTGGCTGGGATTGTGCTTCAACAGTCTTGAAATGAGGTCCCTGGGTCCCTCTGTTACAGTCAGGGAATGTGAATTCAGCTCGTGATACTCTTTTTTTTTTTTTTTTTTTTTTTTTTTTGAGATGGAGTTTCTTTCGCTCTTGTTACCCAGGTGGGAGTGCAATGGCACGGTCTCGGCTCACTGCAACCTCTGCCTCCCAGGTTCAAGTGATTCTCCTGTCTCAGCCTTCTGAGTAGTTGGGATTACAGGCATACACCACCATGTCCAGCTAATTTTTGTATTTTTAGTAGAGACGGGGTTTCACTATGTTGATCAGGCTGGTCTCAAACTCCTGACCTCAGGTGATATGACCGCCTCGGCCTCCCAAAGTGCTAGGATTACAGGCATGAGCCACTGCGCCCGGCCCAACCCGTCATATTCTTTTGTAGGTCTCTTGGTATGTGTTTGCCTCAAAAGGAGGCTTTCCAACTAAAAATTCATAGCAAAGTACACCAAGGCTCCAGAGATCCACCTTCTCATCATGCATCTGACCTTCAATCATCTCGCTGGGGGCGGGGGAGGGAGTCCAGGGTGCCACAGAGCGTGGTCCTCCTGGGGGATGGAGCATGTACTGACCACACAATATTCTCAGGCTGTATGGTTATTTCCATGCCACCAGATTCTACCTAATTCTAGAATATGCACCACTTGGAACAGTCTATAGAGCTCCTTGGATTTCAAAGCAGTCCTAAAATAAACTATTATAAAACAAATATCCCCGCCAGCCGAGTCTTCGTGCAGGGTCTTCCTGCTTCAAATAACTAAGAGGCTCAAGTCTTCCCCTGATTTAAGTGAAAATCAGACACCTAACATGGCAAGAGCCAGGATGTCAGGACCTCTCCAGACATGATCAAAGGGAGAAAGGTGGCGGGAAGGATATTGGCCTGCAGCACACACTTCCTGCTAGCTTCCAGCCCTGCGCATGCTAGCAAGGAAGACTCATGATTTCCCTTTCCCCTAAGGACATGTTTTTTGTTTTTCTTTTTCTCTTACTCCACACCACAGAGGCAGAGCAAGCCCCCCACCTGCCACCTGTGAGTCACGCCGGGGCGAGGCATTGAGGATGCGGTGAAGAGCTTCTCAATGCTGTCTCTAGTCCTTAGGTTCAGGATGATCTTCTTGAGTTACAGCTTCTGACCCTGGGCACTGGCAGGAGAGTAAGGCTCAGGCCTGTTAATTATTTATAAAACAAGGACTCTAGCAGCCACTTCCCCAGGCTGCTGTGAGGATAAAGTGGAAGGAAGTACAGAAGGTTCCTGCCACATAGGAAGGCACCCAGTAAACACAGGCCCCTTCCCTCCATGCTATGAGACCAACCTAAGCAGCTTGATCTCAATCCACTATGTGCCTCTGCTTGCCCAGCTGCATGTTTTTCCAAAGTCGTCCAAGTTTCTGCTCATTAAAATAGAATGTATGTTGGCAATCTGCAAATGCACACAGGAGGTCAAATGCCTTCTCCTAGTTGTTTGGATCAATCAGACGGTGTTGACTCTGCAATCTCTGCGGCACCTCCCTCTCCTGTCCCCCTCAATACAACCCCTATCGTCACACAGCCCATGCTGAAACTGCCCGGTGATACGTTTGTCTTGACTGCCAGGTGGCAAATGCCTGAGACTACAGACTGCATCTAGTCTCTGCTGGAGCTCCAGAGACCTACATGTCTGGTCCTTGCTTGCTAGATAAATGAAACACCAGAATACCTCCTGCAGGAGGGCTAGAGGGGCACTTCCAGGGCATCGTTGCACTCACTGTGTTCACTGCATTCTTTTTTATACCAAGATTAATGAAATGAATGCTATTGCGATGCTCGTGAAGTATTGTTTGCACTCTATTCCCACCCAGTCATCTCAAATAGGCAGCTTATTCCCCTCTCATATCAAAATTTTCCTACGATACTAATTTGACCTCCAAAATACAGCCCTACACCTGGAAAGCTTTTTTTTTTTTTTTAAGGGTGAATTCCACAGTAAAAATCAACAGCTACTACCATGTAATGAGCATTTCTTGTGTGCCTGCCACCAGGCTCCGCCCTTCATGTCTTCTCTCCTAATCCTCACAGCCAGCCAGGGAGGGTATATTATCCCCATTTCACAGGCGAGAAAGCTGAGACACAGAGAAGTGAAGTGTTCTGCCCCAGCTTACACAGCTAATCAGTGGATCAGATTCCATTCTGGCTTCCTAGCATCACCTTCACGGTTCTGGGGAAAGCTGCCACAGAATGTTCAACAAGGGAGAGGTGCTGGGGCTGCCGGTAAGAGGGGACACTCTGGCAGAAGTCCAGGCTCCAGAAAACAGGCTATGAACTAAGGGCAGTTCAGAAGCACAGAAGCACAGTTTTAAAAATCTGTCACCCTGAATCCTGCACGTTGGCAATTCCGTCCCGTCCCCCCACCCACTCCCCCTCCCGCTGGCTGATACCTGCCAGCAGCTCCCACACTCCATCCGGCACAAGATGAGATTTGCCAGGGCCCTCTGGCTTCCTACAATGGCTTCCTACAAAGAAGTTGGGAGTGATCTGCAAGCCAGGGGCTGGAACAGACCACCCATTCTCAGGTCCACCTCGCTCATCACCTTGTTCCCTTCTGTTCCATTACTCATGCTAATCCCACGCGTTATTTCTGGCTTCTGGAGTTCTCATCCATGGATGTAGATGCTCCCCACGCCCCCGATCTCCTCATCAGAGTGTGGCCTTCGGATCCTGGTGCCACGCAGCACTAGCTGCACTTGGGACAGCAGGCATGTGAAGTCTGCTGCAGGATGCCACAAAAATTTCCACTGTGCATTACCCAGGAATTATATTTCCCATGACACAGGAAGAAATAAAAGCCAAAACAAAGCTACTTTTTTAAAAAAAGAAGAGCTGGATTGGGGATAGCTGAAGGCAGTCTTGCAGGATAACGTCTGCCTTCTCTACCGTCGGAAATGAAATGAGTGTAGGGAAAAAGAGGAAACCATGTCTACCTCCTTACAAAATGCAATTCCAGTCCCAAATGGATTAGCCCTCGGCAGCCTCCTCCGAATCAGCAGGATGGAAATCGGAGCCCTTTACAAGAACAGCATACACCTGAAAGGGAAGGCTAAAATCAGAGGTAAAAATCTCCGGTGGGGAAGTCTTCGCTGTAAGTCCTCTTGTAACCTTTGGCAAAACATTTGGCTTGGGCCCAGAGTGTCAGCAGATGTGGAGGACACATTTCTACTTTAACATGGCAGACAGCATTTTAAAAGCTGCTTGGGGAAAGTCATGCTCCCCCTAAAAATATTCAAGTTTCAGAACCCAGTGGCCTGACAACCAAAAGTCAGCAGCAAGGAATGAACTACGTGCCATTTCCCTGGAAATGTGAATTCCCTGGAGGGTGAGGGAGAAAAGCCGGGAAGATAGGCACAGATCACAAGCCCTCCCACTCTCTGCATCTGCAGAGACATTTTTAGCCAGAAGAGAATTCATGTTTGTTTTGACGGATGATATCTGAAAATGCTTTAAACTGTACACAATCCGAATTCACTGTGTGAGACACGGATTAGCCCTGAGGTGTGAGCACACACACAGGACCCAAAGTTGAGAGACAGGATTCCAACCTAGCTCTGCTCCTAGCAGCTGGGTGACTGCAAGCAACAACCTCCCCCTGCCTTAGTTCCTCATCTGCCAAATGGGGAGAATCTCAGTTTCATAAACTCCCCCAGTGTTGGTTGTAAAGATTCAGTGAGACAGGGTAGAAAAGTCTCTGCTAAATAGTAAAACGCTTTCTAAATGAATGATGTTAGAAGTTTATCATTACCTTTAGTATATTCATTTCATTTAACAACAACACCTGTAGGGTAGATATTACCATTTCCATTTTTACAGAAGAGGAAATGGTCTTGGAGAAGATGAGACCCAAGGCCACAGAGCGAGAAAACCCCAAGCTTCGAGTCCAGCCCAGGGCTTCTCAGCTATGACCACAGGCACACGGTACACAGATGCACTGGTACACAGAGGCACGTGGTACACAGACATGCGGTACACAGAGGTACCAGAATGCAGAGGCACACGGTACACAGATGCACTGGTACACATAGGCACCGGTACACATAGGCACCACGGTATGCAGAGGAACGTGGTACACAGAGGAACGTGGTACACAGAGGAACGTGGTACACAGAGGAATGTGGTACACAGAGGAACGTGGTACACAGAGGCATCGGCACGCAGATGCACCTGGTACTAGGAGGCATGCGGTATGCAGATGCACTGAAAAGAGCAACCATCTGATGTCAGGACACGTGAGCACGAGCCTCCTGGGTAAATTTCTTCACTTCAGTCTCTCAATTTCCTTCTCTGTAACATGGAGGTAACACCATCCATCCTATTTCCCTGGAAAGGTTGTCGCCAGGATCCCATGAAACCACAATGCGAAGGCTCCCAGGGAAAGGGCAAAGTTTCCTAATTTGAGAGCGGGGAAATCCAGTTCAAGAGAAGAGACTCATGACCAGGAAAGGAAGGGGAGGACTGAGGGTAGTAATCACATTCAAGGAAAGTCAGCAGGTAATGTCGTGGGTGAAAGAGGAAAAGTAAGCAGTCCAGAGCTGTTTAGAAGATGAAATGGCACAGAAAGGAAGGGACTTCAAATGTATTCAGCTCTCCCAGTGTGCTCCCTTGGGGTTATATAGACACACTTTGCAGGGAATGCACATGCACAGTCACCAAGAGACTTCCAATAGCTTCCTCGATGATGGGAGGTGGGGATTTGTTTGATTTTAAAATAGCCTTATTAGATAAAATTTAAAATGAGCAATTCTGTTGCAGCCCTCCCAATTAAACTAGGTTTTCATTTACTGATACGTTAACTCAAAAGTTTGAGGCTAGAAGAGAGGTTGTTCTAAAACAACCTCGTAGTGTTGCTGACCCTCCCCTTGCTATAATTATATGAAATTTCATTTATCCAGTAAAAATTATTAAGCACCTGCCCTGTGCTCAATACCCTTCTAGGTGCTGAGAATGCAAGGACAATGCTTTGTAAGATGCACACATGTCAGGGGAGTTATTATCAAAAGCCATTCTCACCAGGAGCTTATCTCTGATGCCATCACTGCCAAATAACAATTCTGTTGTTTATGATGCTCATTAAAAAGCCGGGAGGGGAAATGTCAATGTATATTACTGAGCAAAAGACAGCAATCTGAGAAGGTTACATACTACATGATTCCAATCATACGACATTCTGGAAAAGGTAAAACTATTGAGACAGTAGAAAGATCAGTGATTACCATGGATTGTAGGGAGGGCAGGATGCACAGAGGATATTTTAGGGTAGTGAAACTATGCTGTTTGATACTATAATGGTGGATTTATGTCATTTTACATTTGTCCAAATGTAAAATGTACAACAGGACAAAGCCCAGTGCAAACTGCGAACTTTGGGTCATAATGATGTGCCAATGTCGGTTCATCAGTTGGAACAAATGTACCATTGCAGTGGGGGATGCTGATAATAGGGGAGGCTGTGCATGGGTGGGGACAGGAGGTATATGGGAAATCAGTACCTTCTGCTCAATTGTGCTTTGAACCTAACACTCTAAAACTGGGTCTCGGTTTTCTCATCCGTAAAAACATGGGCTTCTGACTATGATTCATCCCAGGGGCTTGTGCCTATTGAAGAGAGGGGATACAGTGGCTGTAATCTCTGGATGGTAGACCAAAAACCAGATTTAAAGAAAACACACTGATGGTTTTCAGCCAGACAGAGATGATGAGGCAAGCAATCCTCTTCTCCAACCTGGGATTTGCCTGGGGACCTAACCTGAGAAATTCTTATACTACTAGGAGACGGCTCTGGGCTGGATTTCTACAAAAGAAGAGTAAGGCCTGAGGAGCTCTGTACCCCCATCAGTCACAAGAGAGGATGGCTTCAGTCTGCTGAAAGCCAGCAGCATTTACAAATTCATGCCTGTGGCTTTTGCCAACTCTAGTGGTACCTTTCTGACCTCTTCCCTTCTCTTTCCTGACTCTTCAATAAATCGACATTTCTTAATATAGTGTCACCTTGAGAGCAAAAGAGACCTTGAATTTTTGGGACTGAATCTATAAAACACTTAGAGGTTCTGGGATTTTACTTAAAGCAGCTTATAATTTGAAAAATGCACACATTCTAATTATTCCAATCTCCAAGACATCAAACGCGTAGCATGGTGGCCCCATCGCAAGGCCCCTCTCAGCTGGAGCCCTTGATTCCACAATCACAAGCGGCAAGGTGCCCTCCTCCCTCCTCTTTTGTCTGGTGCCCCCAGCAAGTTTTCAAGGTGCAGTTCTGAGACTCTCCCATTCACCGTACTAGCAGGTGGCAAAGGGCCCAAGGTGGGAAGGATGTGTGGGAAAGGTCGGCTTAGCTACAGAAAGTTTTGTTAGCCTTATTGGAAGGGAAGGAGACACGCAGGAAGCAGGGCTGAGCCAGGTGGGGGAAGCCACCAGCACAACAAACCCCTGGACTTCCCACTGCCCAAGCGCGAGGACTCTCTCAGGGCAGCCGGCCCCTCTCAGGTTCTGCTTGCAGACACTTCGCTGGGGGCACTCATTTTGCCTGGGAAAACTGCCCCATGTCCCCTTAACAAACCTGTACATGTCCTGTAATGGGGTATGGGGTGGAGGCGAGCATGTCACCAAATACTTTATTCAAAAGGCGAGTCCCTTTCCGCGGCCGCCAGGGAAGGAGGCCCCGCGACTGTGCCAGGCGGGCAGCTTGGGTTTAATACATGCCCTTCTCCACCCCTGTACCCAGAGCCGCTACCCCCTTACCTGCTGACCGCACCCCTCCCAAAACCTCACCAGCTCGCCCGGGTCGGACCGCGAGTGGCTAGAAGGCCGGCGCGCGCCAGGTGCGCTCTTCCCCCGACGCCGCCGTCCCGGGAAGGCCGCACTCAGGTGCGCTCAGACAATGCGAACAAAGCCCGCACTCTCGGCGGGGCCGCCCAGCCCGGGTGCTCCGGGTAGGGGTGACCGGGCAGAGGGGGCCCCAGTCCTGGGAGCGCGAATCAGTCATCGGCAGCCCGCGCTGATGGGTACCCGGGCGCCAGAGGCAACTTGAAGCTGGGACTCACCGGGAGGAGCGCGGCGACCAGCGCTAGGTGCCCGGGCAGCTCTGCTCACAGGCGCGGGCGCGGCTCGGGCCAGGGGGCGCTACGGCACCACAGGAGGGGCGCCTGGGGCGCGGCTGCCACGTGGGACACCTGTTTGTCTCTCCTGGGAGAGGGCGGCGCGACCCGACCCTACCCGGCTGAGGTTGGAGGCACTACCGCCAGGGAGGTGCATCGAGCCCCTAGCGTTTTTCGCTGAATCGGCCAAGGTCTGCAAATAAACAAGTACTTACTTCTTCGCGGGTCACCCAGCCTCTGAGCGGTGCAGCAGCGAACACTGTGCCATCAGCTGACTCCTCTGCGGGCTTTATAGCTCCTTGAAAAAATGTTGACTTTGGCATCTCTTCTATTTGTCGTGGCAATTGCCTTTAATTACCTGTGCCTCCTATTATTGTAGTTGGGTAATAAGCGGACCTTTTGGCCATCATCCTTAAGTCTGGAGGGCATTCGATTTTTTAAAAAAACAAAAAAACAAAGCACAATGCCCAGCATGGTGCTTTATATAAAGTAAGCTCTCAATGAACGTTGACTATGACTGCACAATCTATAATTTCCACACTTCATTTAAAAACTGTCAGTGCATGCCTGTTCATTGCATATAAACACAAGAAAAAACAGTAAGCAAACTGATAAATCACTCATTTTCCACCATCCAGAGATAATCACTGTTAACATTATGGTGTATGTTCTTCTAATGTCATTCTATCTATGCAAAAATTTATGTATTTTTAGTTCATTCGATACAAAATGTACATTACTCAGATTTTCCACTTCCTGTTTTTGAATGTCTATGTTTTGAGCCACTACATAATGTTTTAACATACCTATCTGCTATTGTTGAATATTAAACTTTCCATTTTAATACAATTAGATGTATTTGTGCTTTTGTCCAATTACTTCCTTGGAATAAACCACAAAAAGGTTAATTTCTAGGATACAGGTTTTATACAATTTAAGACTTTTGATGCATATTATCAAATTGTCCTCAAGGAAGGTTGACCTGCTTTCTCTTTTCCATGCTCCTTCCTGTTATTCTTGTAAATGTCAATTTGATAGGAAAATAATTTGTTTTACATCTTTCCTGTCTGTAGTTCTCAGTTAATTTCCAAGCCTCCCGACATTGACAGCTTCTAGTGAAAGTGGCCCATGGTGACTTTAATGTTGCAAACCTCACTGAAGGAGGCTGGGGGAGGGACTCATTTATTCCTGTAATTCATTTATCCCAGTAACATTTACTGAGCGCCCAAAAATGAAAACAGGGCCACACCAGAGCAGCAGACATAATGTACCACCAGCATGCCATCCCCACAGGGGACAGCAGTTGGTCTTGAGGTCTAACTGCTGGGGAGGGATAGTCTCTGCCTCTACATCAGCAATGCCCCCAGAGAAATACTGCGTAAGCCACGTGTGTAATTTTCAATGTTCTAGTGGCCACATTTAAAAAGAAAAGAAAGTGAAAAGAAACAGACAAGCAGGATTTCAGTATTAACCTAAAGATCCAGAATATTATCTCAACATGTAATCAATAAAGATGTTTATACTGTCTTCAAAGTCCATTTGTTTGTTTTTGAGACACATTTTCACTATTGCCCGGGCTGGAGTGCAATGGCATGATCTTGGCTCATTGAAACCTCCTCCTCCCAGGTTCAAGTGGTTCTCCTGCCTCAGCCCCCTTAGTAGCTGGGATTACAGGCGCCCGCCACCATGCCTGGCTAACTTTTGTATTTTTAATAGAGACGGGGTTTTGTTATGTTGGCCAGGCTGGTCTCGAACTCCTGGCCTCATGTAATCAACCCGCCTCAGCCTCCCAAAATGCTGGGAACACAGGCATGAGCCACCACGCCTGGCCAATCCTGTTGTATTCTATACTCACAAGCACATCTCAATTTGGAGTGGTTGCATTTTTAAGTGCTCAATAGTCACATGGGGTGAGTGGCCTGTGCTGCTCCAGAGATGTCCAACAAAGACAAACCCCAGGTCCTCAAGAAAGTGGAAATTCTACCTATGACAACCCTTTCCCCGCACCCGTTATGCTGTTTAACAGTTACCAGCATACTTTGGCCTAATCAGGTTTACCTTGGAGAAGCCACATTTCAACCCTGGTTGTTCCTGAAGTATTTCGCGTGTCTTTAATTTGGGGGTGGGGGTAGTATTTCACATTTTCATTCCGTGATTATGAAGAACTGAAAGTGTAACTACAGTGAAGATACCTGTTGCTTCAGACTTCACATCAATGTATAATCGGTCTGTCCGGGATGTGCACGCCGACAGGAGGGAAGATAGGTGGCACAGGCCCCGGTGAGTGATGAGTGGGTGACCAGCAGGTGTGGAGGCTTTTTATGCAGAAAGCTGGGTAACTACTTTTGTCATCCATGACATCCCTTCCTTTGTGAAGATTTACAAGGATTTAAAAAACAAAGTTATTATGAATTACCATCATCGTAAGGGGCATGTAAGCTTCTTGCTTCCCAGGAGCTTACCTTACTCATCTTTGCAGCCCAATGCTTGGTAACTTGCACACAGTAAATGCCCTCAGAAATAAAAAAAAAATTCCATGTCCTCCACTGACTGAAAGGACCCCCTCTTGTCCAAGGGGACCCCAGAGAAATATTTCTGAGACTTAGTCTCGCTCTATTGCCCAGGCTGGAGTGCAGTGGCTGGATCTCGGCTCACTGCAACCTCTGCCTCCCAGGTTCAAGCAATTCTCATGAATCAGTCTCCCGAGTAGCTGGGATTACAGGTGCCCACCACCAGGCCCGGCTAATTTTTGTACTTTTAGTAAAGATGGGGTTTCACCATGTTGGCCAGGCTGGTCTCGAACTCCTGATCTTAAATGATCTGGATAAATCTTAAAAGCAGAGTTCCCAGATATGACTGGAAGAGAGGTGGGACACAGCTTGTTATATCCGCTCCTTCACTATCAGCCATTAGGTTTTTTTTTTTCTTTTTTTTTGAGAAAGGGTCTTGCTCTGTTGCCCAGCCTGGAGTACAGTGGTGTGATCTTGGCTCACTGCAGCCAAGAGCTGCCTTGACCTCCTGGGCTCAATTAATCCTCCTGCCTCAGCCTCCCTAGTTAGAACTACAGGTACATGCCACCATACCAGGTTTTTGTTTTGTAGAGATGAGATTTCCTTGTGTTACCCAGGCTGGTCTTGAGCTCCTAGGCTCAAGCAATCTGCCCACCTCACCCTCCCAAAGTGCTGGGGTTACAGGCATGAGCCACAGTAACCAACCTTCCTTCTTAAGGGTTAAACAGAAACCAGCCCTTTGGGAAAGACTTGCTCCAGCCCTGTTATCTTTGAGGGTCTCACTGTATCCCCCAGGCTGAAGGACAGTGGCACAATCACAGCTCACCACAGCCTGCACCTCCTGGGCTCCAGCAGTCCTCCTACCTCAGCCTCCAAAGTAGCTGGGATTACAGGCATGTACCATTGCACTGGTTGTTTTCTTGTTTTGGGTAGAGATGAGGTGCTCTGTTGCCCAGGCTGGTCTTGAACTTCTCGAACTCAAGGGATCCTCCCAGTTTTGGGACTGCAGGTGTGAGCCACTGCGCCTGGCCTGGCCTCTACTATTGACATGAACCAACCACTTGATGCTGCCCCTTCCTTTTAAGGTTTCAACAAACCAAGCAACCAGCACTCCTAAGAGACAATGGACCACAGAGTGGTTCTGGCTAGACTACAGAAGATGCACCATGAGGGTTGTGTCCTCTGCTTCACCTTTTGACCTAAGAGGGCCAAAAACTCCACCCCAGAATCGTGCTAATACCATTTTTTGTACATGCAACCCATGAAGAGGCATGAAGCTTAACTGTACACACACATCTCCTTTCATAAATATTTATGACTCCTCCTATAGCTTATTATTTGGCCACTCCACTCAGCATAAATTCCTGTCTTATTTTTCTCAACCTGGAAGTGTGTTTCTGGTTTCCGGCTGGAGGCTACACTTCCCAGACTGTAGCAATAGCTACCCTGCCAGTAGCCACCCTTTATGAAAAATAAAGCTCTCTTTTCCAAATTAATGAACTTTCTCATTCTTCAGTTGACACCTTCTATGGTATTTCTCAAGTTGCCCTGTCTCAGCTGTAAACACAAGAGGTGTAAACACAGTCTCAGTGTAAACTGAGACAGTGTAAACACAGAGGTGACTGAATTTCATTCAGGGGTAAATGGAGACATCCACACTGGGTGACATGCATCATCCAGAGGCACCCATTGTAGTAGAGTGACCGTGGCTTCAGAGATTAGTGGGCTCCTGCCTACTGGCTTTGAAACACAGAAAAGATACTTAACTTTGGATTGCTCAGTTTCCTGACCTATAAAGGGTGATGGGTACAACAGTTCCTAACTCTGTAGAATCCCAACTAAAATTCTGATCCAGTCCCTCAAATGATGAAAGGTAAAGCACACATGAAACGAACAGACAAAAAGGAGGATGCTTAATGGAGCGGCAAGAGTTGTATATTTTCCAGAAGCCACATAGTAGCCACTAATCAGAGCCTTCTTATTGAGAAATAAAAGAACAGGAAACAGTACCTACTAAACAGCAAAGAAACCATCCCCGAGGAAACAAAGAACCTGACTCAGAGGTGCTCAACAAGCGGCAAATTAAGCCAGAGCTTAATTTGGTCTGTGGCTCTTGACTGTGGAGCCAAGAACAAGGAGAACAAAGTTGGGGGCAGAGAGAGACACAGGACGTGAGGAGCAGAAATACAAGCCAAAGCCACTTAGGTGTGAAACAGGCAGCAATTGTTTTAAGGGTTAATGCATTCATCCCGGCTCCTACTTAAGACAGTGAGAATTATGCACAAAGTTGTATTGGATTTGCTTTTGGGAAACGTGCTTTCTGGCTGAATCAAGTAAACATGGAACAAAGGCACAGGCTTGTGTAATAATCACTCAGCCAACATTTGAAATTTTGTAAGTGCTCTACCTCAACCTGTCAGTACTTCCATGTTATTTCCACCTCCTCTCCAAATTCCCAGTATCATGAATTTTAGTTTTCACATGTCTGCTTTAACTAAGTATTCATGGAACACATTTAGAGAGGCATCTGGGTGTACCCTGGAGGCAGAGTAGGCTCCTCCTGCCTTATAATAAGCATCAGAGTCTGTCTCACTTCCTGGAAGGTTCTCATCACAGGAGATAGGGGCCTCATCAAAAGGTTAACACCACAAGGTGTTAAAAACGGCATCCCCTCAGGGTGTTAAGGGAAGCAAGCAAGCATGGAAAAAATGGCTAAGGCGCCACAGCTAGCTAACACCTTAAATGAAG